TAATAATTGTCCCTTCAGGATTCCTCATCACGTGATGCTGAGCTGATCTTGTAACGAGCCCTTACATTTGATTACCGTTAGTAAGTCATATGCCCGAGCTCTCGTGATACCGAGCTACTATAACACAGGGCCAATCGAGCTACTATGGCTTTTATTGGACCGAGCCCTCACAACGCCGAGCTACCACCGCTTTTATTGGGTCGAGCCCATATAATGCGAGCTAACCTTGATCTATAGGTCGAGCTTGTATGATGCCGAGCTACTATCTGTTTCCAAATCGTGCTCGCACAATACCAAACTACTACCGGCCTTTAAACTGAGCTCATAAGACGCCCGATTTACTGAGCTTTTCCTATGTGAGCTACAAGCTTTTCAGACGAGCTCGGTAAATCGGGCTACAAGCACACCAAAAGCATGCATTGGTGTTTAGATATGTAATAGTCCAAAAGCTCGTGACTTTAATTACCAAATAGTGAAAAGTTTATAATTTGCAATTTTAGCTTTTTTTCTCTTCTTATATAAAATATGGGGAGATTCTACGGCCTCGTTACGGAACTGTGCTGTCTGGGTTTATAACCGTTAGATCAACTATCAACGACGATTATATGATGATCTAACGGTTACATATATCCCGACGGAATGATTTCAGTCGGGAGTATAGCATTTACCTAAAATGTGTCATACGGTTGAATTACCTTATGCTCCCTAGTCCTCTAGCAGCCAATGAAAAGTTTTCCTTCGCCAATTCCAAATTTCCAAATCCACCGTAAATTAAGTTAAAAACTATATATCATTCTAATAATCAAACCCGAAAAGAATCATATATACCCGAATCCAAACCCGAACCCGTACCCGGAAAGTTGAAGTCCAGCTCAGTTCATCTTCAATCATCACCTTCCTCACTCCTTTTCCCCAAACAAAAAGATACAGAGATTTTTTTTTTTCCTTTTAAATTAAAAAATATCCTCTTTGTTTCCCCACGTTCCTCAGCCGCCGATGGAACCGCCGGAATCCACCTACGCCGCAGAACGGGTGATTCTCCGCTGGGACTCATCCGCCTCGGAGGACGCGCGCGACAGGATGATCTTCGCCGGCGACCGTGTCGAGATCGACCGCTACCTCGACGCCGTCGACGAGCTTCAGAAATCTATGTCCGCCGCCACGCTGTCTGATTCCCCATCCGCCGCCTCGCCTACGCTCCAGATCGCGATGGCTCGGCTGGAGGACGAGTTCCGAAACATCCTCCTCTCGCACACCTCCCCAATCGAGGCGGAGCTGCTGATCGAGCCGTCTCACTCCGAGCTCAGCTCCCCGAAACTCGATTCCGGAGAGGAGATCGGCGAGCGCAGCTTCGACAAGCAGTTAGAGCACCAGGAGAGCAACAACAGCACCACCAGCAGCTGTTACAAGTCCACCACCAGCATACGCGAGGTGGATCTCATCTCCTGCGACGCGGTCTATGACCTACGCTGCATCGCCGAGCGGATGATCGCCGCCGGCTACCTCCGCGAGTGCATTCAGGTGTACGCGAGCGTGCGGAAGTCCGCTGTGGACGCGAGCCTCAGGAAGCTGAGCGTCGAGAAACTGAGCATCGGCGACATTCAGAGGCTGGACTGGGAGACTCTCGAGATCAAGATCCGGCGGTGGATACGCGCGGCCAAGTTGTGTGTCCGCGTGCTGTTCGCCAGCGAGAGGAGGCTCTGCGAGCAGATATTCGAGGGTTTAGGCAGCTCCGCCGACGATGCGTGTTTCATGGAAACCATTAAAGGTCCTGCTATTCAGCTGTTTAATTTTGCGGAGGCCATCAGTATCAGCAGGCGTTCGCCGGAAAAATTGTTTAAGATACTGGATTTACACGATGCTCTGTCTGATTTGTTGCCTGACATCGAGGCAGTCTTTGATTCCAAATCGAGCGAGTCGATTAGAGTACAGTCGGTGGAGATACTGTCTAGATTAGCCGAGGCCGTACGAGGTATATTATCAGAATTTGAGAATGCCGTACTTCGCGAGCCTTCAAAGGTTCCTGTTCCGGGAGGAACAATTCATCCCTTGACCAGATATGTGATGAATTACATTAGTCTGATCTCGGATTATAAGCAGACCCTGAATGAACTGATTGTGTCCAAACCCTCGGCTGGTCAAAGATATTCGAGCGATTCCAACTTACCGGATATGGACTTTTCTGAATTTGAAGGTCAGACATCGACACTGGCCCTTCATTTGATTTGGATTATTATGATTTTGCAGTTCAATTTGGACGGCAAGTCTAAACACTACAAAGATGCTTCCTTGGCTCATTTGTTTATGATGAATAACGTCCATTATATAGTTCAGAAGATTAAAGGGTCACCTGAGCTGAGGGAGATGATCGGAGATGATTATTTGAAAAAATTAACTGGGAAATTCCGGGTTTCTGCCACCAACTACCAGCGGGCGACCTGGGTGAGGGTATTGTACTGCTTGAGGGACGAGGGTCTGCACGTGAAGGGAAGCTTTTCCTCTGGTGTGTCCAAAAGTGCTTTAAGAGAGAGGTTCAAGGCTTTCAATGCCATGTTTGAGGAGGTACACAGAACACAGGCGACGTGGCTGATACCTGATACTCAGCTTCGTGAGGAGCTGAGGATTTCCATATCGGAGCTTATCATCCCAGCCTATAGATCGTTTCTAGGGAGGTTCAGAAGTCATATTGAGAGTGGGAGGCACCCCGAGAATTACATCAAGTACTCGGTGGAGGACCTCGAGAATGCAGTCTTGGATTTCTTTGAAGGGTACCCGGTTTCTCAGCATTCGAGGAGGAGGTCCGAGTGACTATGGAAGTTGAGCCTGAAGGTTTGCGATATAGATTTGTAGAAATCATTCTTTGAATTTTTGGTGGAGTTTTGAGGGGTGAGGTTATCAGTTGTTTGAGGAATTTAAGCCTGCATTCTATATGGAAAGGAGAAAAATGCATTATTGTTCATTTCAAAGGATATCAGATGTGGTTGCTTGAAGCCAGACACCGCTCCTAACTACATCCTCTCAAATGCTTCAGCCCTGTAAGCATGTGTTGTTTGTATTGTTATCTCAGCTTTTCTAGATTTTGTTTTATTTGTTTATATGGGAATTGTTGTATTTTGTTGTAATTTCTGAATCCTGGGGATCAGTTATTATATGGTCGACAATGAATGAATGTAGATGAGCCTTGGTTATTTCTCAACTGACTGCAAAGTGTTGTGTGACTGAAATATTTGTTCCTAATGGAAACTTCAACTTCTCGCTACTTGGATTACCTAATTAATGTGTGCTTATTTTCCTATAGTAATGTAATCCTTGCCGCATGCACATTTGCATTTCTCTTTTAGTTAAAGAGGTAAGGTGTTTATAATAATTGCAGATGATAGCTGTATCGGACTTTTCTGTGCATTACAAAATTCTATGATTCTATTAGTTGTTTATTTGTTAAGATTTTGTAGGATACCAATTTCATATGACTCATTGCTTCCTTTAGTTTCTCTGTTTAACAGTTTAGTGCTAGCATATCTACCTTTGCAATTTACTCGGTTAACAATTTATAGTTCCACGTTCCTTTAAGAAGAAAAGATGTTCACAAAAAAAGTGTTTTGAGGTTTTTAATCAGCTGCTCTACTTGTTATTAACTTCTTGATGACTGCCAACACTCTAGAAAAATGGAATAAACCAGAGGCTGAGATTATATATGATGTTTAACGCATTTACATGACAAGGACTCAATTGAGACGTCATGGTCAAATTGTTGAGCTTTTGCAACCTCTAATGTCTTGGATGATTGGAGTAGTCAACTTTCTTGAATTTAGTGTGTTCAAACTAACATTACATCTTTTTATTTTTTCGGTATCTTAGTTGTGTTGTTACTCTTGGAGATTTTGTGGGCATACTATTTAAAGCCTATATTCTTATTAATCGCTTTTGGATTGTAGAATTTAATGTTTTCTTGAACTTTAGCATTGTAAGAGATTTTGCCCTTTGTGTAACTGAAGCTTTGCTGTAGGGTCTAAACACCCAAAAATAGACTTGAGACTTGAGAGGACCACTTCATGACAATTCTTTGGTAAAAACCAAAAGACTAGTCTCGATCTAAAACAGTACGTTGTTCTATTGACTCACTCCATACCAAAGACTTTTTCAAGGCTGTTGCTGACTGTTGAGAAGGTTGTAAGTTGTAACCATGTCTTAGGTGTAACTTGTCTTTTTTTTTTTTTTTTTTTT